CTCAGAGCCTACAGCAGGGTAAATGCCGGCTACAGGCACAGATTAGCAGAAGCCAAGCCTGCAGATAAGGCAGGCCTCCCTGCCTGCCCCCACCCAGGGCTGCTCCCCGTGACTGCTATGTTGGCTTTTTTTTTTTTTTAATTTTATTTATTTATTTGACAAACAGAGATCACAGGTAGGCAGAGAGAGAGAGGGGAGAAGCAGGCTCCCTGCTGAGCAGAGAGCCCGACGTGGGGCTCGATCCCAGGACCCTGGGATCATGACCCGAGCCGAAGGCAGAGGCTTTAACCCACTGAGCCACCCAGGCGCCCCGCTATGTTGGCTTTTCCAAGGTCTCTCCTGGACCCATGATGGCATTCCAGAGTCTAGGTATTAGTGTTAAGGACTGAGGCGGCACCCCTGTCCAGACACTGGACAGGAGGACCTGAATTCCACTTCTCTCAACATCCCCCCTCCATTATGCCAGGCCCACCTCACACCCTCTCGGAAAACAGACCTGTTACTCAGAATTTTTTTTTACACGAATACACGCACATTAATAAGCACCTTGGGTTTATTTTCCTCTCACTTCTGAAGCCACCTTATTTGATTTATATATACATAGTATATAAATGGCTAAACAATATTCTTTACATACGTTAACATGTTTAGGCTTTACTACTGTGTGAGAGTTTGTTGAAACATAGCCATCATTTATTCAAAATAGATCTTTGTTATTACATGAAAACAGTGAGAAGCTTGTACAACATGGACAGCAAGCATTCAAAACGAAGATGTGAAGTCAATGGTTTTGCCCTGGCTAAATCAGCCTCAATCTTTTATGCACTTAGTAGAAAGTCTATTAAATAGAATAGAATTCGGGGGGGGGGAGGTCAAGTCATATGAATAATTCATGAAATAATACTTCTGATGTAACTCCAGAATCACACAAGGGTTAAAGGTCATATGTACCAAGCACAGGTTAGAACAATGGATTTGATCATTTTACCCTAAATAAAAGGTGCTTGTGGGCAGCAGCTCTGTCGTCAGTACACATGGCCAGATGTTTCCACATCCGGCCATTCCCAGATCACACTGACGAGGCCTTTTCCACAGGTTTCCTGCCCAAGACGGTTCCCCAGAAACAGGTCTGACATCACTGCTTCCCCGACGGGAGAAGGTGGGAGAATCAGAGCTCTCCTCATTTGGGTGGGGGACAGACCCTGGGTTTGGTTCAACCCACAGAACCAGCCTCCCTGGGTCCTGGAGGCCTCAACGCCAATGGTACCAAGAGCTCTGTGATTGGAGGGCAGGAGGCAGGTTCAAGGAGGAGAAAGAGAAGCCACTACCTTTCTAGAGTGAAAGAATGAGTCCATTTACATTGCAGTCTCATAAAATGCCCATTTCTGTAAGAAGACACAGCCACACCACGCTGCCTGAAACTTGGACCTCCTTATATAAGGTGAAGGCTTTTCTCCTCCTGCATGCGACCAAAGGATTCACCCAGCACTCTCCTCTACGAGGCTTTCATCCTCCTGCTAGCATGCAGGGGGAGCAGGCTGTTCCCGCCACTCCTCAGCTGAGGACACCGAGGCCTGTGGGCATGACTTGCCCCTGCCAGTGCAGGGTTGAGTAGAAGAGTCAAGCCGATCCCCAGGCCTCCCCCATCTCTCACGGGCACATCTCCTCTCTCTTCCTCCACCATGGACACAGTGCGCAGTGGAACTTCTCTGTACCTAGGCAGGATTCTGTGTGGAAACATCTGGAACGTGAACCATACCGCAGCAGGGGTGCACATCTATCTCCACAAATACTCCTGTGCCTCCTGGTCCTCACCTGTGCTGCTCTGGGCATGCACAGCAGCGGGCTCCTAAGCGCCACCAATCCCCCATATTACAGTGAGGGGTTGATTCCTTCCAGGAACAGCAAACATCAGCCCTGGATGCAGCCCCAACCTGCCCAGAGGCAGCTGCTTGAGGGCCCCCCTTTCTGCTGCCCACCTGTGGCCTGCTTCCCATGCCCCCAACGGCTGGCCCTGCTGGGTGTCATTTTTTACTGTGAGCAGTGCTGAACACCCAAGTGCTCCTCCCCACTGAGCGTGGACTCCCACATGTGTGCTGAAGCTTCTAGCAGCACAGAGGCAGAGAGCTGGGCCTCAGGGCAGCCCAGCAACTACAATCGAAGATGGCTTTCTCATCCCTCCAGAGATTCCAGGTTCAGCCTGTTTGTTCAGGGCTGGAATGCATGGGACAGACATGGAAAGAGGCAGAGGAGTCCTAGAGAATGGGGGCACCTAAGAAAGGAACAGGGAGCTCCAGAGGAGGCAAATGTTTGAATTTCAGCACTCTCCTTGACACCCTTTGGCCTGCTCCTTAAGGAACTTTAAAATGGTGGGCCTTGCCTCACCATGCCTGCAACAAGAGTTCACATGTAACAGGGGGCAAGCCTGAGAAGCAAAACCAGGAGCCTCTGATCACATTCCTTCTGCTGCCGGTGGTGGGGCTTCCTGTACTGAGAGGAAGTGCCAACCCAAATACGCCCCCCCGACTGTCTCCAGCCAGGAAAAAGAAACTCAGGAATGATCCACATCACAGTAAGGCTAGCCTAGGGAAATGAAAACCAGAGTCTGTGCGTTTCTTTGACCAGCATACTTGGGGAAGGGAAAACCCTTCAGGCCTTGGCCCCTTGGTTGGGAAACCCTGGTCAAGAGTGCTGAACCACACTGCCAGCCCAATACAGTAGATGGGAATAACTGCAGCATCTGATCCCAGAAGGCACTTTGAAGGTTTGTTTTCAACATTATTTCATCTATTCCTAGATCTACCCCTGGGAGGTCGGTTGGGCAGGTAGTATTTTACCCCTGGGAAAACAAATGAGTCTGTGGGGGAGTGAGGATAACTCCTGCAAAGTGGCAGGGAGCAGCTTTCTAGCATCAAGGATGGCACAGCAGGGTTGGGGGGAGGGGGAGGCACAAAACTTCAGGCCTGAACCAGCCTGCGATTTCCCTTGGACAATATCCCCAGAACTTCTTTCCTATCACTTACCTCTTCCTCCAATAAGCTGAAGCTTCTTTCAGCTGGATTCTAGTTAAACAATGCTTATGTACTGTTTGGCTAGGGCATCTTTTCCCTTTTGTTTGCAAAAACCAATCTCAAACCCCATGTAGATGCTAATTGATGACAACCACTTTCCACCAGGGGTAGATAACATCCCTGCTGCTGCAGAAGCATTCACCAGGAGGGACTTCTCTTCAGGGATGGTTCTCTACTGTCCGCTGAATGTGGATCACAGGCTCAGACCCCAAGAGCAAGAGCATCTGGGGTACAGGGCTACACGGCAACACCAGTAACACAGGGGCTCAAAATAAACAACTAAATAAACCTACAATTCACTTGTAAGCTGTTCTTATCAACTTTTAAAGCCCCACCCCCTTTTTTTTGGTGCTTCTAATTTATAAGGATTTGTCTCCCCTCCTTGGCTTCCCATTCTATTTTACCATCTCTTCAAAATTATGTCCCAGAAAACCTTTAGATGCACCTGCTGGGTATGCAGAAAATCATGCAGATGTAGAATCGAAGGAGAGACAACAATGAACTTGACATCTAAGGATAGTGCCAATATACCTCTCACAGCCAGATATTGTTTGATTAAAAATAGAAAATTGTATTATAAGAAAATAAAATGACTGCGGCAACATTTTCCCAACAATTTCCAGTCACATAAACTTGTTTTTCTTAAAGTGACATCAAGGTAGCTCAGTAGCAATACACTAACAGTAACAACCAACTACAACTGAATTCCCTAAAATAATATTCTTGCTTTCCCCCACGTACTCAATAACTCTTGAAATGGTTTCCAACTTTTTAAAAACTATCAAAGTAGGATTTCTTAATTTATTAAGACCACATAATTCAACCTTAAATCCCATGCAATTGCCGTTGAGCTATTCAGAATCCTACCAAGAAGAATCCAAAGGGCAGGCTCCCAAAACGGTCTCCTGAATGGCACTGGACAACTCAGGCTGAAATTTCTGGAGACCTAAGGGACTTTATTCAGAGCCCCATTTTGGAAAGCTGTGATCAATCAACTATTTTGAAAATGAGACCAAAAAAGTAACTTTGCAGAGCACAGGGTTAGTTATACCTTGATGAAGCTTTTAAAAAATTAACACCTACTTAACTCCTGTTCATAAAGAATGAGGTTCTCGATCTAATTAAGATGACTGGGAAAAGTGTAAAGGAGTAATTAATTTGGGAGGGCTTCTGGGAACAGGGACACAAGGTCAGGCGTTACTCATCATTAAAATGACGGGTGCCCAGCTGCCATGTACAAGGCTAATGACAAGAGCATTTTTGTTTGTTTGTAATGCCCCCTGCATCTATAAAGTGCCACTATGTGAATCCAGTCTGTGGCCCACTGCAGAGAGTCCTGAAATTCTCAGGCTTATAAGCTCATGGTCATGCTCACGATCTATGATCCAGTAGCACTGGTTACTCAATTTCTAAAATACTCAGATATGCCCTGCAAATAAATAAAAAAAACATTTCCATACCCACGCAGCTCCACCACCATAAAAAGTTGTAGATAAATTAAATAAATTCATCTTTCTTAACCATTTTCTCAGCTTAAGTTTACCCTTTCCCTAAATGAAGGTAAGTTCAATTTATATCCAAAATATATTTAAATATTCTAAAGGTACCATACCAGACCCAAGTTATCAAAAAATGTAAACAAAATTTATCTAGCTTATATTTCTGAGCTGTATTTTAAAATTTTTAATTCACCCTATACTGACCCTCTACGAGAAACTAACCAAGTCACATTTAGACTGAAAAGCTGATTCGGGTTTCAAAGTGGTTCCTCAGAGACAACTGCCAGTTACTAAAACTAGTGTTATTGGATTTCGTGGTTTATTGCGTCATTCGATTGAAAAGACCAAAACAATTCTGTTCTGATCTTCCAGTAATGCTCCTTGGGGGGTGAGCCCCCAAATTCTGCTGTCCCAAGGAGAGGTGCTGACTCTAACTCTCAGCACAAAGCCAGGCCTGGGTCTCAAGCCACCTCCTGCCTTCCGCTGCACCTGCTGAAAATCCCCCACTGTCGCTCTCCGCCTGGCTTGGTCGAAGGGAACTTCGAGGGTGAAAATCTGAGGTGAAGTGGAGAAGCCAGAAGGGAAACAGAGATAACCCTCCTAAGAAAGCCAAAGGATCCATTCGTCACACAGAGTCGCCTTCACACTCCACAGTCCCACTGCTTCTCCTGAAGCTGCCTGGTCAGTATCTGATGCGAAGACAGAGAAGCCACCCCGATGTGAAAGAGGATCTGCCAGACATTCCGCAGCCCATGCAGGTACACGTTGCCCAGGCAGATAAAGAGCAGCAACAGCACCACCTTCCTTGTCCTGGCTGGACTGTAGAACAGGTACAAATAACACTGAAATGACACCAGAAGAGGCAGTCCAATCAGAGACGAGGAAATGGCCACGGGTCGGACGCAAGAAGCACGTCTTGCACCTGCACGCATGTGCACTGGCTTATTAAACCGAATTCACTAAGTGCGACCTGGACGCACTGGGTGAGTTGCTGGTAATCACTGGATGAAAGTGGAGATTCAGAAGACAGAAGAGAAGTAACATAGATATCACAGGAGGAATGAAAACACGACACTCTTTAACACATTTAAGAAACACAGAGGGCAATGCCCCGGCTGTGGGCTGTGGATAAAGAAGAGATGCAGGTAAGGGGAAGAGAGCCAGGCCAAGACACCCCAACGAGGCTGACTGGCCTCCAACTAAATTCTTCCTTCAGAGGAGTCATGACAGGCAGGACAGCCCGTGAAAGGAGCCATCTTTTATCATTTGTTTTTTCCTGAGTTACAACTACATCAGGGACCAACGTTCCCTAGACATCCCCCTTATCATGTCTTCAAAAACATTTCTGAAACAGGGAGAGTCTCACAGCCAGGAGAGCGACCGGTATTTTGTATAGGGCTATCACAGAGAAAAAAGGCCATTCTTGTTCTGCAAAAGGTAAAAAGTAGCTTTTTGGTTCAAAGTTGAAAAAAACAAGAAGCACATTCTCAAAACCCAGAGCAATTCAACAAAGGCTTAAGCTCCACTGGGTGGGGGGAGAGCTCCCCACTGAAAGAGCTATCCAAGTAGGAATACAGCTGAGATAACAAAGGCCAAGGGATAAGATCCCCCCGCCCCCAGCCCTGAAACACAGGCTCTGAACACCTGAAATGGCAACACCCAAGGCTCCGGAGACTTGATTTCTCAAAAATGAGTGCATTTTCAGTCCTAGGTTGAAAATTTCTTTTGGGACAATCATGTCCTTCTTAAAAAATAGACCATTCTAGGACGGATGCAGAAAGGAGAAAAGAGAGGAAGTATCATGAGAACAGAAACTTTAATTAAAAACAAACAAACAAAAAAGCTTAAGAATGTAGAGAAAATACTAAAGTCCTCGCCTTTTGTGGAGAATGAGGAAAGAAAATTACAATCAGGTTTTTTACTAGAATGAACTCTGCCTATAGGGGATTCAAGAGCTCCATTTTACTCCACCCCTTAAGTATGACACTTACTTGAAAATAACTAAATAATAATCAAAGCCCACTATTAATGTTGCAATGTTTATCTCATTTCCTAAGGACAGATTTGAATCAGATGGCATTACTATTAAAAACAATTTTTGGGAGGGGCACCTGGGTGGCTCAGTTGGTTAAGTGTCTGCCTTTGGCTCAGGTTGTGATCTCAGGATTCTGGGACTGAGTCCCGCATGGGGCTCCCTGCTCACGAGGAGTCTGCGTCTACCTCTGCCCCTCCTCCCACTCATGTCCTGTCTCTCTCTCTCCCTCTCTCAAATAAATAAAATCTTAAAATTTTGTTTTTTTTTTAACCTAGTCCTGGGTTTAAAAAAAAAGCACATATAAGTAGTGGTTACTTCTGCAGAAGGACAAATCGATACTTGGAGTGCCCTGACTATAAGTAAGACCCTGCCCCACATTAGTCAGGCCCAACCTAATCCCCACAGCAGTCTCATCCCTCCCTTCTTGGGGGTTGAGTCCAAATTTCTGGCTTCTGTTAAGCCATTGTCAAAGGCTCTGTGGCCTAGGACAAGTGGCTTTCCCTTTCTGAACCCAATATTCTTCCTCTGTAAAATGAAACAACTGGGCAGGATGGGCCTAGGGTCCCTCCAGTAAGAACCTAGTCCATGACATGCCTTGGTGGAACAAAATCACATCTAGAAACTTGTTGATGATTCCAATAGAAGGACAAAGTAAGTCCATGGAGTTCAACCCATTCATCAAAATATCAATGTTTCACCCACCTGGAAAATGCAGGCTATAAAAGGAATAAGAAAAGCCAGAATATTTCCAATCTCCTCGTGGGCAACCTAAAACAAATATAAGAAACAAATACAAGAAAAGGAATATTCAGATGAATGGCAACACTAGGACATGAAGCCCTTCACACCTCGTTTGCTCTGGTATGGTGGATAATACAAAATCCCTGGCTGGGGGAGACATAAGTCCCCGTTTATTTACCAGAGCAAGGGTTGGCATGCAACTGTTTTCAACAGCCTGGGCGCACCACGCGCCCTCATGTCCCTGTGCTTCTGTGCTAAGCGCCCAAGCTGGATTGCCTCCCAACGCCACCACTTCTCAAAATCCTATGCTTCTGTCAGCACTCAGCTTTCCCTAACTCCACCCACCCCCAGGTACCGCTACCTCCTGAGTGATGTCACCACACTCTACCACCTTGCTGGCCAGGAACCTGTTCTAGTGTGTACAGACGCTTAGTAAAAGTATCGGGGTGTGAATAACCATGAACAACAAGAGTGGGATACATTGGCTAAAGACAGGATATGGTGACAGGAGGTCACTGCTGCCCCTCTCCACACAGGTGAGCCTACATCAGTCTCCTGAGACCCAGCCTCAGCTGTGCTTTGTACTTTGGCTACCATCATCATGGCTGTGAGCATTACGGCTCTATTTTTAACAGTAGTATCTATCTGCTTACGCCTACAGTGATTCTGTACTTCTTAAAAAGTGTTTTAAAGGGCGCCTGGGTGGCTCAGTCATTAAGCATCTGCCTTCAGCTCAGGTCATGATCCCGGCGTTCTGGGATCCAGTCCCGCATTGGGCTTCCTGCTCCACGGGAAGCCTGCTTCTCCTTCTCCCACTCCCTCTGCTTGTGTTTCCTCTCTCACTGTCTCTCTCTCTGTGTCAAATAAATAAAATCTTTTTTTAAAAAAGTGTTTTAAATACTTGAAATTTAGGGAAAAAATGTTTTAAAAGCACTGAAATAGAAGGTTGCTTTGATTGGAGCAGGCTGGCAAATCAGCTTCCTGGTGCTATAGCTCTCTGACAAAGACACAGGGAGGGTAGCATCTGAATGATATAAATCAGAGTAGGAGGAACTTTTCCCAGGGGGACACAGCCTGAACCTCAAAGTTGTAGAATCAAATTTGCTCTTTAGCCATCGGGCTCCTGGCGTGACTCCTGGGGCCCCATGGATGTCTCCGTAGCACACTAGTTCTCACCAGCTCCCCCTTGGGCTTCTGAGGACAACAGATACAAAAGAGCAAGTCTCATATTTGTTCAGCCAACTATAAAGAATGGACTTTAACATAAAAATCATATTTTAATTAAAATTTTGAAATCTGGGACGCCTGGGTGGCTCAGTTGGTTGGGCAGCTGCCTTCGGCTCAGGTCGTGATCCCGGCGTCCTGGGATCGAGTCCCGCATCGGGCTCCTTGCTTGGCGGGGAGCCTGCTTCTCCCTCTGCCTCTGCCTGCCATTCTGTCTGCCTGTGCTCGCTCTCTCTCCCTCTCTCTCTGACAAATAAATAAATAAAATCTTTAAAAAAAAAAAAATTTTGAAATCTTAGGGGCACCTCGGTGGCTCAGTTGTGAAGTGTCTGCCTTCAGCTCGGGTCATGATCCCAGGGTCCTGGGATCGAGCCCCAAGAGCTCCCTGCTCAGGGGTAAGCCTGTTTCTCCCTCTCCCACTTGCCCTGCTTGTGTTCCCTCTCTTGGTATGTGTGTGTCTATCTCTCTGTCAAATAAATAAATAATCTTTAAAAAAAAAAATTTGAGGGGCACCTGGGTGGCTCAGTGGGTTAAGCCTCTGCCTTCGGCTCAGGTCATGATCTCAGGGTCCTGGGATCGAGTCCCGCATCGGGCTCTCTGCTCAGCAGGGAGCCTGCTTCCCTCTCTCTCTCTGCCTGCCTCTCTGTCTACTTGTGATCTTTCTCTGTCAAATAAATAAATAAAATCTTTAAAAAAAAAAAAAATTTGAAATCTTGGTGCATAACAACCTTATAAGTGAAGTGGATCTCCACCAGTTTCTTCCACTATAGGTCCTTCAATGTACAGTACAATAAAGAAAGGTTACCTGTAAAGAATGTTCTGCGAGGTGAATCCCACGGATGAGATTCAGAGCAGCACACATGATGTTGAGAATAAGCGAGAGGACTCCCAGGGCTGTCACTGGTTCCATTCGGAAATTAGGAGCTTCACAATTAAAAAAAATAAGTGTCTAGTGAACATAATTTCTATATGAAAGAAAAATAAACAGAGACATTAACTAGACCTCCACTAATGGCAGGCTCAGTATGTTAAACACAGAATTACAAATGTATTAGCTAAAAGCAGCTGCTGTTAGAGAGCAAAAAAGGCAAGAAATGAAGGACAGAATGGATCTGGGAATCCGAAGTGAGTTCTTCCAGAAAGAGGTCCTTCTCCAAAGAAGCACAGGTTTTTCAGGGCCTGATTTTCTCTCTACTTAAAGCTGTGGTTTTCAGCCAGGGGTGATTAGCCCCTCAGTGGATATGTGGCAATGCTAGAGACATTTTGGGTTGTCAACACTGCAAACAGGGTGTCAGTGGTATCCAGTGGGTAGAGGCCATGAAGGCTTCTGAACATCCTACAATGCCCAGGACAGCCACTCACAACGAGGGATCATCTGGTACAAAATGTCAATACGGCTTAGATTGAGAAATCCTGATTTAAAGCAATGTATGGCTTTATCTGTAAACTGGTTGTCAAATTCTGACAGCATTTCTATCATATACTTCAACTCTCAAATTTTAAACAAGGACAGTATTCAGTGTCTCCTGTGCTTCTAAAGTAATTCACAGCAAATGCAGTTTCTTAAATTCTAAAATAACTGGGAAGAGGAGGGAAACATTGATTATTTGAGCTATAAGCTGTTTCTGGAACTCTAGAACAAATGACCATTCTCTCTTCAAAGACATCTGCTAAGACTGATTCCAGGTCACACAATTAAATGGTGACTCCCTCCCACCCCCATTCTCTTACTGTGATCTTTTAAAATCATCCCTTCTTGTCCTACATTTCACACACACACACACACACACACACACACACACACGTACAAATATCTAGCCAGAACCCTACTGATGCCTGTTGTTAGTGTGTTAGAGTTTCCACCGAGCTATCAAAGTTTCTATTAGAACAGAACATGCTACCTGTAAAGATTCTAGCCCCGGGACAATAGGGTGAATCAAACCACTGTAAAATGTCCTAGAAAGATAAGCAAGTTGACATTTTCTGGATTTGCTTCTCTTGTCTAAGTGGTTAAAAAACAAAACACATATTACAAAGTTATCCCGTCTTTACATAAGGCAAAAGAAGCAGCTTGGGGCTCAAATGCCCCATGCTATGAAAGTTAAGTCCATTCCCAATATAAATGACCACTTACTGACTGGCATGAGAGCCAATCCAGGAAAGTATTGGTTGAAACAGATTAAATCAAAACACAAAGGTAAGCCAAAAATGTGAACATTTTTAATACACCACTTTTAAATTTCAACCAATGAGCTCAGTATAAAAACTGTTAAGATAATTAGACTGTTATAGTGGAGACAACTCTATCTTTCAAAGAAGGATTCAGTTCTTACACCACTACGGAAGGCTTAGGATATAAATATCCACTTTAATTAAAAATCGGTTTGTGTGTAATTGTAACAAGTAAAACAAAACAAAACAAAAAAATCATGCTTTGTTACATGGTAGGTATTTAGTGGCTAAAGGGGTTAATGCCAGATCACGTCACGGAATGCCAGGGCACTCAGCTGGGTAAACCACAGGGACAGATGGACGTCCCCAGGGCTCACGGGGAACCAGACAGTGAGAATGTTAGAAGCTGCAGCTCTGGCCCTGCCTGCTATCATCCCCATGCCCTTCCCTCCCTCTGTTAAAGGGGACAAGGGTTTCTCAGTGGAGATTTGCAATGTTGCACTAAGTGATAAGATAAGGATTCCCTGGGGCACCTGGGTGGCTCAGTGGGTTAAGCCTCTGCCTTCAGCTCAGGTCACAATCCCAGAGTCCTGGGATCGAGCCCTGCATTTGGCTCTCTGCTCAGCAGGGAGCCTGCTTCTCTCTCTCTGCCTCCCTCTCTGCCTACTTGTGATCTCTGTCAAATAAATAAATAAAATCTTAAAAAAAAAAAAAAAGATAAGGATTCCCTGTAAAAGGGAAAAATAGAAAAGAGAAAGAGAAAGAGCATGTATAAATCTACAGTTTAGTAAGTGACTTCCTTCATGTTGAAACTTGTAGACTTCACCCCAGTTAAGGAAACAATCTGCCAAGTCACTCTTCTGAACGTCATCACGAGTTGCCCACTCCCACAATCAATTCGCTATCGTAAGAGTCAAGTGTTTTCTAACAGTCACCTGCAAACAGGATCAGTCCATATATTTCCCCACATATTTCATCACCCACCCCCCAAAAAGCCTCCGATTTAAAGAAAAAAAAAAAAAAGGTCAGTGGCCATTTGAAACACCTAACGTCATGCCATCTTCATCAACACCAGAGCACAGCTAACCACTTACCAGGCTCCAAGTGTATCTGTGTGTGACCGTTCATTATTCCATTTGCCACATCGGTGTCCTCCAGAGTGAGGACCACTGGAGGCTGGAACTCCAGCTCCTCCTGAATTTTTTCCAAGCTGCTCTCCATCTGAACACAACTTACGTGGTTAAAATGCCACTTCACTTTCTGAATGATACTGTCTGCAAAAAGAGAGCAACCCAAGTTAAGCAGCTGCACAGGAATGGATCTCATAGAACAATACGTACAAAATGAAATTCACATTTCTAAGCAAGCTACTAAGTCAGCCAGTGTGTTGAGACATACCTAACAGTCAAACAACTACTACGTGTCATTACCGGTCTCATCAATCTCTTCAGTGCATAATACTTAAAATACGCATGTCTACAGAGAAGGCAATGATGCTCTCCAGCATCTCAGCGATGAGGGAATCAAAGCATAGGGGCTTGAGTCTTAGCTCAGCCACTTCTGATAGCACAGTCCAGGGCAATTCACTGAAACGTTTCAAAGCTTAACAAGGGAAGACAGTTATTCTTGAACTAATTACCCCAAAAAAAGGCATGTGAGAAAAAAATTACAAATAAATGTGATTCTATAAACTAAGATTCTATATTTGAAAGGTATTGGTTTTAATTATTGTATTTACCTTAGTATTAATCCATTACCAAGTTTTAGTAAGTATCTGAAGTAGTTTCAAACAGATTGGCAAAGCAAACTGATGCATAAGGCATACACAGAATAGCTACTATGATATTCTCCTTCCACTCAGCAGGGGGCAGGCATGATGCTGGGGAAGGGTCTGCTGTCAGAGTGCACACAGCGCTTTAGCAGGAAGGCACATGCAGCGCCGAGGCGGGGAGAAGAACAGAGTCCACAGCTATTAAGGGACTGACAGCCAAGGGACTCCACAGCTGTGGTCTGTCCGGGGCTAGCTGCCCTCTTTGCAGGAAGAAGCGGGGCTGAGAGCAGCAGTGAACAAGGTCTCACAGGGAGACTTGGGGAGAACCTTCTTTCTGTGTCACAGGTCTGCCAGGCAAGAGGCCTGTATCCCAGGGACTTCCCCAGCACCTCTTAGGTGACAAAGAAATGCCAGCCGGTGGGCCACATGAGGGGGTCTGAGGGCTCTGGCAATAGTTCCAGAAAGCGACACTTCTCTGCACCCACCAGCTGCTGCCAGTCCCTTATTCGAGAGCATCACGGAGACAGCAGCTGTCTACACAGAGGCCACAGAAGGCCCCCCAACTCCCACCTCAACTCCTGTTCTCCCGAGAACTCAGGATGACTTGACTCACCTGAGAAAAACAGAGCATACGCTGTTAATTATCAAGCCTCTACAAGGCCTCTGTGGCAACGCCTAGGAAAAAACTACCTCTTTCAGAGCAGTATTTCTGACCTCTGAGCAAAGGCCTAGTTTTTCTTATTTCCAAATGGATGCAGACCGATACTCTGATAAAAGGCAATAAAAAGACTGCAGGAATGTCAAATTACTGTATGAATTTCTAAACATTTGTTATTCTCACTTTCTGTACCAACCTCATGATAAGGGAACCACCCTTTGAGTAGTAACTCTAGAGCAGGGAGAGGTTGTCAAGTCTTCTTAAAGGGCTACATAGTCAATATTCTCGGCTTCTAGGGCTTGTATGGTCTCTGTCACAACTATTCAATTCTGCTGGTGAGGGACAAAGCAGCCACAGGCGACCCATAAAATAATGAGCGTAGCTGACTTCCACTTTATTAAAAAAAGACAAACCAGGCACCTGGCCCTCGGACCACAGTTTGCTGACCCCTGCTTAGAGGACTAATGGGGAAAAACCGAGATGGGTTTCACCATTCCCCAACCCTGCCTCAGGCTCTGAGGAAATGGGAAGCCAGCACTAAGCCCTGAAGCTTTCCGGGCCGCGTCAATCACGGTGAAATCTCAGGGGACCAGGCTGACCTCCAGTGACATGCTACAGCACCTCCAGAGGTTTTCCTTGATGGCCATAAGCCAAATCTAAACCATCAGTTCAACACACACAATGCCGTAAGAGAGAGCAATATATAAGAGAGAGGGTTACAAACCGAACTCAAGAAAGGCGTATGGCCTGGAGGCCAGGCCAATACAGGTGGTATCGTAGGAAGCTGTGAATTCCCACCACACGGTCTCCAGGAAGCAGAAGGCCATGGCTGCTGGACACTGGCGGGAGCAGATAGCCATGCAAGCCACATCCCGCAAAGAAGAGAAACTGAAACAAAGGGGCAACACCTGCATTAGTGGAGGGCCGACCCCTGTATTCCTGGCCCATACTCAGACAGCCATGCCCACGCCCGGCACCTGCCTGGCCTTGAGCAGCCCTGTAGCTGTTTGCTGTGTGTCTACTGTCTCTTCGGCTGGGCCTACCTGGCACTTTGCCTTTCTCATCCTTCCTCTAAACTAGGGAGCAGCTATTTGCCACTGACACTGTGTGGTCGCTCTTTTTGATTCCTGCACGAGGGATGCATGTTCCACAAGGGAGAGGTAGCCTCAGGCTTCTCTATGCCTATAGAGCAAAATCATCTTCTTCTTTAATCGACACTGATAGCTTTCTAATGTTTAATCATCCTGGCATACTGAAATGAAGGCTTCTTGGGGGCAATTCATATATATTCACATACACACAACTGCTAGATTTAGTTTGCTAATGTTTTATTTAGGACTTTTGTGTCTATGTAATTTCCTTTCTTGCACTGTCTCTGTCTGGTTGTGGTATTGGGGTTATTCTGGTCTCATAAAACTGATGCAGGCTTTTCTCCTTCTTCCACTACTTTTCAGACTATCATGCTACCGTTTTAGGTTCTGGGGACTCAAGTTCTCTCTGTGGTGTCTACTGACTCCCACTCTTTGAAAAATAGCTCTTTTGGTGTTCTGTAATTTTTGGTGAGAGGGACCAGTGTGGAGCTTCTTTTTTTTTTTTTTTTCTGTAAGAATCTCTCAGGGACTGATTTGAGGCACCACCTTCTGGAGAAGCTTTTCATTTGCTCTGATCAGCTACTCCAGGAGTGTCATCAGTCTGGAACCAATACCAATCACTGAACCTTGGTTTAGACTTAAACTCCAGTCCCACATGAGGCACAGAAGCAGGGTTCCAATGTCTTAGATGAGATTTTGTTTTTCCTTCCCATACAAAGCCAAGTAAAGATGAGCAACTCCTGTACTGGTGGGCGGCTATTTCCCACATGGCACGGTTCCACCGGGGCTGTCGCCTGACCAGAAGGCCTTCCTCATGCCCGGGTCTTGTTCCTATGCCTCACCCAGTGGACGCCCACAGGCCTCTCCCTTTATTTGTTCGTGCTGAAACTCAGGGCCTGAGTTGATCCTGACTGTTCCCCAGGAGCCTCAGTGTCAGCTCACACCCTTAGCACCTTGATATCCTGTTCCTCGTCACTTCTGGGATCTTGGGAATTCTTTCTTACGAGCTCAGCTACACATTGAGAACAATTTCTCAGATACATTTACCCACATTTCAGGATGTTTCTGGCAAAGAGTTTTTAGGTTATACTGTTCTATAATCTTTTCTACATAAAAACTTTGTCAATTAAAAAAAAAAAAAGGATAACCTCCTCCTTATACAAGGAACTTTCCAGAGGGCTTAAGTCTGTCTAGGGTGGGTATTTTCTATTTGAAAGAGAATCCCTATTTGTGGGCTGACTGTGTCTCCCAAAAAAGATATGCTGAAGTCCTAACTCCCAGTGCCTGTGACTATGACCTTATTTGGAAACAGTCTTTGCAGATGCAAAGGGTTACAACGGATTGGGGTAGCTTCCATCCAATGACTGGTGTGAAATTTCGTTACAGAGACAGAGGGAAGAAGGCCATGTAACCAAGAAGGCAGAGACTGGAGTAACTCTTCCACAGGACATGGAATGACAAGGACTGCCAGCAACCACTAGAAGGTGGTAGAGAGGCATGCGAAGGTCTTCCTTAGAGCTCCAAGAGCCCATGCCCCTACGGACACCTTCACTTTGGACTTCTGGCCTCCAGAACTGTGAGACAATAAATTCCTGATGTTGTAATTTATTAATAGTAACTGTGGGAAAATATTTCAACTCTTTAACTATAAAATAAGCTATAATACTGCTTACCCGTATGGAAAAAAAAAAGCCTGTTTCATCTGTGAAAAATAATGGTGAATATTTAATCCAAAATACAAATGAGCAGAACATTTTACATTCCAGTTTTCACAAAAGACTGCTGAAACACCCAGAAAGTCCTTTGAAGTCACAGACCTTTTTTTCTTTTCTTATCAGAGAAAAGTTTTCCTATTTGCAGACCAGCACCAAGTTCCCATAGGATGTTAGATAATCAAAGCATAATGAGGAAGGGACACAGAGGAAGGTGGTTTCAGGTACAGCTCAGTTTTTGCTCCTGAGCCCCCAAAGTCCACACACTAACAGAAGGGCAAGAGTAGGAGCAGCAGGCTCCGTGGGGGGCGAGGGGTGTGGCAATCACACTCCCTTAATTCTCTGGCTGTAAATCCACACCACCTCAGACCACTGTCCGACAGCAGACCCACTGGTGACACAGCATGTGATCACCTAATGTTATCCCCACACATGCTTCACAGTAAACCGAAGTATGCAGATGTTCTGAAAAAGTGAGCATGCTTGCTTACTGTATATTGAAGTCACATCCTTCCACAGAACCTCGACCTGGGTACTGGGCCAGTCGCAAGGCTAAAGTCTTGAGCCGTCTCCGGCATTCCAGAAAATCTTGGGTGTGGTAAAAGTCAGTGGAGGCGGAGAGAGGCAGTCCATCCCTCACCCTCACCACACAGGCAAAAAGGATCATAGACATGGTCTGCAGGGGAAGTCATGAGGACACCTGAGGAAAGCAAGGTCATCTTGTTACTGAAGGCAGATGATAGTGACAGAAACATCCCTGTGTCTGAAACGTCATTCTGGTGGTTTCACCCTCACCCCCACTGGAATTACAGATGTTGCCTGTATTACTACTTTCCTGGCCTCTACTGCTATGTTGCTCCCTATCTTCCTCCTTCGTTTTCCTTCCTGTCTCTCCCTCACCTGTAACCCTGCTTTTCCTTCTAATGAATCTCTCCCCTTCCAGAATGAAACCAACTAGGATGAGGGAGAAAGGAATAGAGAAGCAAGGAAGCTGAACCAGAAAGGCTCAGGAGCAACAGCAATGACAGGTGGGTAGCTGGGACACAGGTAGCAAGATGGCCCCAAAGGGACTGGAGGCACCTGACCTGGAAGCAGTAGGGGTGGGGTCCAGTGCCCTGTGCATTTCAGGTCACCTGGGGAGGCAGGTGTTGAACAGTTTAGTTGTCTTATCCTCACCTGCAGTAGAGGGATTCTGATCATCAATCTGAGTTGGTGGTGGGGAGAACAGAAGGCAAAAATGGAACTAAAAGACAGAGTATGTCCTCCTGTATTTCTGCAAACATCTGATACCAAGCCAGTCTTCAAAATGATGACTGAGTCCCTACAGATGGCTAAAGGAAGTAATTTAGCAAATTATATTACAGTGAGATCCTAAATATTTGGTCACGCTATGTGGGCACTAGTAAGAGACAAAAGGAAATAGATTCTGAGCCCTCATGGTGCTCTTGGCAAATCAGAACAAGGTGCTTCTCAGGGTAGAAACAGCCTACACCAGTTCTGCTAGCAGAGCCTGGCTAGGTTTTAGCCCCAGCCGTTAACTCTGCAGGTGCTGGCACGGGGCATAACCTACACATGCAAGCTATGGTAGCCCCACCACCAGAGATCAGGGAGGCGGCCACTGCAGCTTTAATGGCTCTTTCCATGTACCTACACATCCTGTTTCCCAGACTGGGTTTGTGAGGTCCTCTACCTGATGGGCTGTTAATAGGTACAGATGCTGGTAGACTTTCCTTTCCAAGAACTCCAAAGATGTAACCTCATTTGACCTCTCATTTCCTAAAGCAGGAAGAAAGGGGTACCCCTCTGATGCACACTCTTCTCTTCACCTCTGTGGCTCGATGTATTCTCTGCCTGTGTCTGCTACTCCTCTGATCTCCCCATATCCAAATCCAGGTCAAGGACTGTCTCCAATCCACCCTTTCCGTGAAACCTTTCCCAGTCTTGTCCAGCCAGAAGTATATCTACTTACCTCTTGGTTCTCTATTTTACTAATTTGCATTTCCATTACCTAAGTGTAAGTTTTAAGAATAAAGACCATATCTAGAATGGATAAACGAATAATTATTCCCATTTTACCCATGAAGAGACTGCAGTGCTATATAAACAAGAGAAGGCAAAAAGAAAACTTAGTCTATAAGCCAACAGATCCTACCAAGTCCATTGTCCCATCTCCCCACATATTCCATTGAGGAATAAAAATGTGAAAAGCCCCAGGAAAAATGCCTCCACACACAAAAGTGCTAAGTTCCCAGCACAGCTAGCAGGGCCTGGCCAAAGGCCAGAAGACCCTGTGGGCTGTACCACAGCTGTTTGGCCAATACTAAGACCTCAAGCACCGAAGAGGTCACCAGGGCTTGGATGTACGGAGGCTAATCTCATTACCTTCTTATACTTTCATGAATGTTTGAAATATTTAATTCAGAAATAAATTTTTAAAGATTTATGGGCACAAATCCCTGATAGAGACAGGGGAAGACTAAAAGATCAATGTGAGACTAGGACTTAGTGGCGAAACAAGAACCAAAACTTGCTTGTTACCTTGACAACAGTGTTATTTTGGTGAATGCAAGGTACAGCCATTCTGCAATGCATGTAGACAAGTGTTTAAGAATCCCTGTAATGAAGATGTTTCTGAGCACACTACTTGATAAGAAAGAACAACAACTTCAACAAGAATGCTAGGCCAAGATTTAAAGACGCTGAGTACTCCTCCCACCCTCCCCACTTCCCCACCACCAACCTAAAAAAGGAGAGAGAGAAAGAGAAAGAGAGAGAGAGAGAGAGAATATGAATCCATGAAATACCAAGAGAGTCAGAGACAGGACAGAAACACCCCAAGGCAAAATAAGACAGGTACCTTCCAGGAGGCTGAGTAAATTCTGAGCTCTTTAAGGGAAAACAGTATGCAGTATTCCAACTGTCAACCCCCAATATCCTCTCTAGTGCTATTTTTATAGAACGTCTACTATGTGCCAGGTATTGGTTTAAACCAGTAAAAAGGAAAACAATGAACTTTCCAAGTGATAGTAATCGAAGAACCAGTTCTACCACTCTCTAAAGGACCCAAACATCCCCTCCAGGCTCTCTACTTCACCCTCTTGATCCTTTTGGTGATAAAACCTGCCTCTCCTCAAACAATAGCATTCAAGATAGATAAAACCATTGGTCAGTTCTATCAAGTTAGTAGTACTGTAAACTAATGAAACCCACATCCATTTATTTTAAAATTTTTATGATGCTTACATGAAGGGGACACTGACATTAAGGGTCACCTGTGTTTGTGTACATGTATGAGTGTGTAAGTATATAGGACGGCAGTCGCCTGAGGCGTGGAGGGATTTTACACACGGCCTAAGAAGAGAGACAACACGGTCTAATAACAGAGGCAACAGCATTTTATTCCTCTGTGACATGTACTTTGTATTCCAAAAGATGAAAAAAACCTTAATACAAACAGGGAAAGGCTCATCTTTGTGTCTTCGGAGGGCCTGGTAAGAGCTTTGTATACTGTAGGGATCTGGTGTTTGCAAATTCAGGTTATGAGCTATGATGAGATGGTCTATACTTGAATAAGAGATCTGATCACTGCTCAAAAAGAATGAACTGAGGACTTCTGCTTCTGAAAAGGTGGAGTTTAAGTACTTTTTCCTACTCCCACTAATAGTACTAAAAACCATGGACATTATATATGAGATAAACATAAACATCTGAAAGGTGGAGAGAAGGTGGCAGACTGGTGAGGGACTTTGGGAACTGGGAAATGACAGAGTTGTGTGAGCTTGCTCAGTTTTCTTTTTGCCTCATATATCCCGGTCTTGGTGCTGGAGAAGCTGGCAACTCAAAAATGCCAATGAATGTAGACAAAAAAAGAAGGAGGAGGAGAAAAAAAAGACCCAAGAATATAAAAAAAAAAAAAAAAAAAAAAAAAAAAGCCTTCTCTCTCTATCCAAAGAAGCAGGCAAGGTGCATGCAGCCCAGAAAAACTGAAAAGTTTTAGACAAAAACATTCCACTCCAGTCAAACACCAAAGAAAAACTGTAGCCATCATTTATCTCCAATAAAGGCTGAATTAAGAGCCCAGACTTCTACTCTTACCTGGCACTAATAAGGTGCCCCCCACAACTCTCCATGCTGCTGGCATGTCAGAGAAGACCAGGCAGGGAGCTACAGGCAGCAAGGAGCCAACCTCTCCCACTGTATCATTAAGGAGACAGAACTCCTATCTCTGCCCAGCAATAATGAGCAGCTCCTTTCCTCTAGGGAGCCAAAAAGAGGCCCAGTGGGGAAACCTGAACTTTTATTCCCACTTGGCAGTAATGAGATAGTGTTCCCACTTCCCTGCTAACATAAAGGCCAACTAAAACAGATCCAAGTAAGATCCAGAGTCTTGTAACATAACGTCCAAGATGTCTGGGTTTCAATCAAAATTCACTGGCCATACTAAGAACCAGGAAAATCTCAGCTTGAGTAAGAAGAGACCATCAGCTGATGCTAACACCAAGATGATAGACTTTAAAGTAACTATCATAAAAAAGCCTCAATGAGCAATTATAAATACACTTGAAACAAATGAAAAATTAAAAGTCGCAGCAAAGAAATAGAAGATATAAAGAATCAGATGGAAGTTTTAGAATTTAAAAAATTCTAGAAGTAAAGAAATTCAATAGATGAGCAATTATAAATACACTTGAAACAAATGAAAAATTAAAAGTTGCAGCAAAGAAATAGAAGATATAAAGAACCAGATGGAAGTTTTAGAATTTAAAAAATTCTAGAAGTAAAAAAATTCAATAGATGAGCTCAACAGCAAAATGGAGGGGACAGAAGAATGATTCAAATCAGTAGACATGAACACAGAACAAAAAAAATACTTAATTTGAACAATCTGAGAGAAATTAGATTGAAAAATATTATATGGAGCCTCAGGGACTGTAGGCCTATAACAAATTATCTAATACACATGTCACTGGAGCACAAGAGAAAGAGAGAAGGACTGAAAAAGTATTCAAAGAGATCAGAAAATTTCCTAAATTTGACAAAAGATATAAGCCAACATATTCAAAAAGCAGAATAAATCCCAGAAAGGATAAACCCAAAGAAATCCATGCCAACAAATACAACAGTCACTCTTGATAAAACTAGAGACAGAAAAAATGTTGAAGGCAGCAAGAAATAATATCGGGAAGGGGAGGTTGGGGGCCAATTCAAATGACAGCAAATTTCTCATAGAAACCATGGAGGTCCAAAGAAAACATATTTTTCAAGTGCTAAAAGAACTGCCAACCTAGAATCCTGTATTTTCAGCAAAAATATCCTTCAAGAATGAAAGGAAAACTAAACCATATTTAGATGAAGAACACTGAAAGAATCTGTTACCAACACACCTGCTCTAAGAGAATGACTAAAAGTTCTCTAAACAGAAAGGAAATAATAAAAGAAAGAATCTTAGGAAAAAAGAAAACACCATAGAGAGAATAAAAACATGGGAAAATACAAGATACTATCCTTCTTATAAGTTTTGTATATTATGTTTGATGATTAAAGCAATAACTATAACATTTCTGGTGCTCTCAATGTATTTAGAGGAAATATTTAAGAGGAAATATTTAGGGGGTACAGAGATACAAAGGGAGGTAAAGTTTCTATGCTTCACTTGAAATGGTAAAATGCTAACTTCAGAAGACTATGATGAGTCATAAA